TAGCACACAGAAGGTATCCAGTGAGTGCTTCATAAATAAAATATACAATAAAATGTTCAAAAATATATTGTTTCATATTGCTGAACTATATCAACATGTGTTATCAAAAGAGTTTTGTAAGAAAAAAACAAAAAGTTCTTAAAGTCAATATTTAAATGGTAACAGTTCTTTCTTACTCAGTTACAATATTAACACCCATACTCTGCTATTGCAGTTGTAGGGCCCATAAATGGCAAGTTGTGAATAAAATTATTTTTTCCAAGATGATGTAAGCATCAAAAAGATATACATGTCTATGTCTTAAGGATTTAATATTTGTGCCCACTTTGGGAAAAGACAAGTTTATAGGCTTTTACTTTAACAACTATATTTTCTCTTTCATACAAACTAAATGCACACAACAGAAGCTTTGTGAATTTTATTGGGGGACAATTCGTCCTGCTCATCAGTTCCCATAAATCCCATAATAAACACTCTAGACACAAACTCTGAAGGAGGAAAAGGTAGCAGCTGGTGATGAAAATAAACTCTCTCCTGGGACATGACAAAGGTCACCCAACAACATCTCACAATAAGCTTTCCATTATCTCACAATGGCAGCCTTTGTCCCTACAGATAAATTATCAATCAGGAAATTATAAAAGCTCTCTTGAAACAAAGATTACATTTCTCCGCCCAAGTTTAAATTGGTCATAGCTGAGACCCTTAGCATCAATGAGGGAACTTCTGCCCTGACACACAAGCTGGCTGTGAATCAATTCCACCAGCACAATGAGCCTTTGGCTCGATTTGAGCAGGGAAACTGCTGTCTCCCTTGGCCACTTCCAGGGATTAAGGGCTCCTCAAACAATAAATATCCATTCTTTGCTATTAAAATCAGTGATCCCAGTTAAAACTATGGGAGGGACAGCGTGAGGATCAAACTGTCCTCAATATAATTTGGTAAATTGACTTTATAGGGAATATTTCCCAACCTTACAGCTGACACATTAGAGGCCATTGCATGACTGAGGAAAAGCAGTAATGGGAAACCTAGAGGAAGTGGTAAAAGAAGGCAGGAAATCAGAGCATGAAGGGTGGCCAAAGGCAAACTTTGGCAGCTCAGAACTCTGGGAGGACCAGCTCTATAATTTACTACCATTCTTGCGTGTGTGTGTGTGTGTGTGTGTGTATTTAAGTCTTTAATATATGCCTTTAACTCTCGTAATAGAACTTTTATTCATCTCATATTATGTCACTGTGACTTTCTGGGAAAAAAAGACACTGTCAATAACTTTTAACTACTAGATTTGTGGAGCAAATGGATTCTATGAAAACTCATCCATTATTCTCCCACTGGATTAGGGCAACATCATTCCTGTGGTGATTGTGACTGGTGGGACAGTTTCTCACCAAGCCAGTCAGCCAAGGCTCCATCTTCTTTTTTAACCTAATGGTTTCTGAGGATAAAATCCACACAAAGGCACTGCTTCCCAAAGTGTGCTTCTCAAGCATTCTTTTTTCCTGATAAAGCCCAAAATAAATATTCGTCCTCAAAATAGCCATTGGAAATTTAGAGCATACATATGAAAACATCCTTGAGAATGCCAGTTTAACAAGTCATTTTGCCTAACTACATTTCCCAAACTGGACTGACACCAGAATGATCCCCATCTGAAACAGCTGATAAAATCAGTGTGTACCGGAGCACCCTATGCTATGTTAAAACAGAATCAGTCACAAAGACACTAAGCACCACTAATTATTGACAAACATTTTTACAGAAAATTAAACAGAGAGCTAAATTCACTTCTACTATTTTGTTAGTTCCTCAAGGAGAAGACTCGCAGGTTTTCCATATACTCTTTCAGATTTTATTCATTCTCTGTTTTGAATTAACAAATAATTCAAAACAAGATGGAAAAATTTATACATTTTATCATTCAGTCTTAGAAGTAGTCAAGATTATACAAATTAAAAGAGCAATGTGATAGGATCTTTTATGAGCTCATGTATCCCTTCTCCCCAAAGTAAAAATAGTTCAAATAACATTTATACTAACAACCATGACATGAACTACATAATTTCATATCCTACTGATGGTATTATATGTTGTCACATTTCTGTTCAACAATCTGATGATTCCTATCAAAGAATTTTTGTTCGCAACACCCCACCCAAAAGTTACATTTTTGAAACACTATCTTAAGGAATTAATAAAAAGTATTTTTAAAAGATCAAAAGTACAGAAATGTTATCTCCCTGTTTATAATAAAACATTTATTGAAAGAAGACTAATGATAACAAGAGTAAAAGATAAACATTTCATGACATGATCATTGATCATTTATTTTTCAACCATAAACATAGAACTATGAAAACTAGGAGAAATATGGGAAAACATTATGAAATTATACTTCAAAAAAGATACAGGATACCAAATAAATACATATAAGAAATGCATGATATAGATTGACAACATATTAAGTAAGATGTTCAGATGATCAGAACTTGTAAGTGTAGAAGATTCTATAATATTTGTATCACTATTTAAACTTTGAACTAGTAGTTTTATGCATTTAGAGGAAAACAAGTCTCTGTCTCAATACAAACTGAATTTTGTTATTTTTATCAAATTTTGAGTTTTCTATACCTGCAACTTTCAAAAGGTTTACACAATCTCTTTTAATCCAAGGGATATGTGTGTCAAGTTCTAAACTAAAACTGTTATTTTAAAAATTTATATTATGACTTCCATCTCAAAAGTTTATAAAAACTTTGTGAGTTTTTAAAACTGTATATGTACTTGTATAAGCATCTGTGGACATTATTTTCTCACTCTTGGTTTTCTACGCACATTGCAAACCAGATTAAGAAAAGTACCATAAAAACAAATAAAACTTGATTTTAAAAAACACTACTATGTGTATAACATTTATACACTGATGTTATGCTAGAGGCAATTGTTTTAAATTTACATAAATCATCTTAGAATAGAAAAAATTGTTCAATGTTCCTTTTATTTTTAAAAATACATTTAATATAAGGACTTCCGCCAAGATGGAGGTTTAGCTGGATGTGCCTGCCTCCTCACACAACCAAGTTTAGGGACAACTAAATATTAGCATCAGAAAACACAACCAGAACACGGAAAACTGAACTTTTCGGAAGTCCGCTAACAACAAATTCTTCGGCCCGACCGGTAAGGGGCGAAACCGGCGTCGGGTGAGGACTTACAAAGGAGGGCTCGGTCGGACCCGGGCGAGGAATCCAGATGCGCGAATCCAGTTGCGCAGGTTCCAAACCCAGGATTGGACCTAGTGAGCGACCAAGCAGCCCACCAGGTGAGCGACTACGGAGGAGTCAGTGGGGAGGCGGTGGCAGCGAGTTGACTGTGGTTGCCTGGTTGCCCGCGAGTGAGGGAGTGAGCGGTTGGACCAGCCCAGCAGCGCAGGGCGCCATTTCCCCGCTCTGACCACGCCCCCACATACAGCGTCACAACCCAGCGACCTGGGACTCCAAGGCGCCGCTTTTCCCACTTAAAGGGCCAGAACAGACCAAAAATGTCGCAGGCAGAACTCAAAGCCCCAGAGATAAATCTAAATGACGAAGAAATAGCAAAACTCTCAGACGCACAGTTTAAAACACTGGTCATCACCTTCCTCATAGATCTGGTGGATTATAGCCACAAATTAGAGAAACATATGAAGGCTAAATTAAGGGAAATGAATGGAATTCCACAGGAAACCCATAGAGATGAAAAGGAAACTGGGACTCAAATCAATGAAGTGGACCAGAAGGAAGAAAAAAATGATCAAACAAAAAGGAATGAAGAAATAAGAATTCAGAAAAATGAGGAGAAGCTTAGGAACCTCCAGGACATCTTTAAACGCTCCAATATCCAAATTATAGGGGTACCAGAAGGGGGAAAGACACAACCACCAGTGGAAAAACTATTTGAACAAATAATAAAAGAAAATTTCCCCAATCTGGCAAAGGAAATAGACTTCCAAGAAATCCAAGAAGCCCAGAGAGTACCAAAAAAGTTGGACTCAAGAAGAAACACACCAAGGCATATCATAATTACATTAGCCAAAATTAAAATGAAGGAAAGAATCCTGGAAGCAGCAAGAGCTAAGGGGACAATCACCTACAAAGGAGTCCCCATCAGGCTGTCAGCAGATTTCTCAAAAGAGACCTTACAGGCAAGAAGGGGCTGGAAAGAAATATTCCAAGTCATGAAATCTAAAGACCTACAACCAAGATTGCTCTACCCAGCAAAACTTTCATTTAGAACGGAAGGACAGATAAGGTGCTTCTCAGATAAGACCAAATTCAAGGAGTTCATCATCACCAAGCCCTTATTATATGAAATGTTAAAGGGACTTATCTAAGAAAAAGAAGTTAAAGAAACATGAACAGTGAAAGGACAACAAACTCACAGTTATTAACAACCACACCTAAAACGAAAGCAAACTAAAAGGACAGCTAGAGCAGGAGTGGAAACATAGAAATGAAGATCTCAAGGAGGGTTAGCAACAGGGGAGTGGGAGGAGGAGATGGGGGGAGAAGGTACAGAAAACAAGTAGCATAGACAGTAGATAGAAAATAGATGGGGGGGGCGAGAATAGTATGGGAAATATAGAACCTAAAGGACTTGAGACACATGGACATAAACTAAAGGGGGGGAATGGTGGGGTTGGGGGGGCAGGGTGGAGGGGAATGAAGGGGGGAATAGAACAACTGTAACAGCATAATCAATTCAAAAAAATAAATTAATTAAAAAAAAATACATTTAATATAAGCTGAATATGAAAGGACACCCAAAATACTGGAATTATTTTCAGGAGGATGGGCCCCTTGTAGTACAGGCTCCCACCACTAGGTGAGTGTTCCAGAAACCCACCTGTATCAGTGACCCAGATGGCATTGTTGTGAGAGGCTGCATTCAGCTTCAGTGAATTCTTTTTTGAAAACTCTTTCAATACATTTGCCCATTTCCTGATGAGTAATTTATGAGCATGCCTACTGACACCAGGCTGAGTGTTCAGCAGTTTTTGACCAAAAACGGCATGACCACCAATGCCCCGTCCTTTCTCTTCACCCAGTCTGTACTCAATGTTTCTCTAAATAAAAAAGCCCTCGAATGGAAATGTTTTGCCAATGTGAAACTGGTGAAGCAAAAAATGGCAGAAATACTAAAAAGCATCAAAATGGACAAGTTCAAAACCGTTTGGGGCAGTGGAAATAATGTCTCCGCAGATATTGCATCAAATGGAGAGCGCTTTGAAGGTGACAGAAGTTCAAATGTGTAAGAATACATAATTTTTATTAAAAATTCCTGCTTCTATGAGGTTTCCCCTTGTATGTTTTTCATATTTTTCATTTAAACAAATATCAAGTAAATTTGTTAGCGCAAAAGTCAGATCATCATATTAATTACAAACTTGAATATTTCTCCCTAGGCAATAATTTTTAAGACAATTCAACCATGAAGTTCATTATTACTATTTTAATTAGTAAATTGCTGTTACTTTTTGAGTGGCTCACAGGCCTTCTAGATTATATAACCATAAAAATGTTTTACAATATTTCATAATTCCATAATAAAAAGGAAACATGTTTATATTTGTTATAAAAGTTTTTAAAAGCACAAAAATTTATCTAGACCCTGCCTACTTTTTAAAAATCTTCTTATTTCTTATTATTTCTCTGAACCTCACCAGGGCGCAGAGGTACAAAACCAGGAACAACTAACAGTAAGTTTACTTTCATTATTTCTGGTAGAGACATGAACTTCCAAGTACAATTCTGTAAAGTTCAATAATATTAAAATGCCTGTGTCTAAAAACTAAATAAATATTTAAACTCCATAAGTAATCTAGTAACTATGGTAAAAAAATAAAAACTCCAGCAAGCCATCATATGAATCAACCTCAGTGTTCACCTGTAAATCTTAATTTCATTTTATAGCCTAAGTCATATTGTTTTCATTTTCAGGTGTACTGAACAACATGAGAAAACTGTCTCAAAATGTACTATGGAGAAAACAATGAAAACAAATGCAGAATTTGATGTCTCCCCAGCCTATTTTATTAAGACTTTGGGAAATATTCTGCTCCGAGCACATTTGAATATTTTCCTGCACTTGTATCTGCTTCTTCCTTTTGTTTCCCAAATATGTTTAAATGAATATTTTTAAATTTTCTCTTATGAGAAATGCCTACTTGCAGTGTAACTTTGTTCATTTGTTTCCATTTATATGGAAAAATATAGACATATTTGATAACTACACATAATCAGTAGAACAGAGATTTATAAAAAATTCCCTAAATAATGGTAATGAATAAAAACAAACTGGAAAAATGTAAACTATAAATCCAGGAATTCTCCCACATCATATTTTACTATTCTGCTATAATCCATTTAGAAAAAAACAAATGTCCCCTCAGCCTAATCTCTAGATTAAATAAAATTTTAAACTGTTATGAGTGTGTGGTGAGACTATATATATATATATATATATATATATATATACATACACTTATGTAAGAATCTTTATTTTTTTCTCTATGTGGTTATAGTTGTGTATAGTTTGTCAATGCTCTCTAGGAGATTTTTATAGCTACTGTACTTATCATAACGTTCAACAGTTACTGAGCACCTTTCATATATGCCAAGCTCTTGCCAGTGTGGTTTACATCATGAATTAATTTATCTAATTTGTCTGAAACTAATATTATTTTTAATATTAGCTGAAAATTAAGTAGAAGGAAGATGTACAAGTCATAATTTGCAAAATAATATGGTTGCTGGGTTCTCTAATATTGTACTTACTCAATGTTAAATACTACAACATTATTTCAAAAAATCTAATTTAAGATACCACTATATTCTACCATATAGTAATACAATTCTGCATAATTTATTCTTTGCAGTGTCATGAGAAGGATAAAAGATTCTTCAATCAAAAGACAGTCAACTATATTCGAATTCATTATGTTCTGAAGAGCTATCCTCACCCTGAACTCAATTACTACCAATATAGACCAGCTGTACCAATTAATAGCCAATATGTGCCTCACCCATACTATGCAAAACAAGTGTCAGACCACACGCCTAAATTCCTCAATGGCAATTCCTGCCCATTATCTACCCACTCACTGGGGTACGTCACCTATACTTATATCCATGATTTATTGTCATTCCCCCAAAGAAAATTCAGGATAAAACAGTCATTCCTGCCACAAACACCAGTGCTACTATTGAACCTACATCTACTCCAACCATTCAACCAAAAATTGTAGTAATTCCAGAAGCTTCTTCAGAATTCATCACAAGCACATCTGAGGCCACCACAGGCACATTGACTTCACCCACAGTCTAAAACTCTATGGAAGCAACAAAGAAGACAACGCAGGTAAATGAGCAAAAGAAAAAAATGAAGACAAGATTTATGGATTTATCGATATAATTGTAAACTCTAAATAGTATAAATGGATAAATTAAGTCTGTCATGAGGATAGGAGAAATTAGTTGATTGCAATTTTAATTTGATGGTGCTATAGCATTAATATGCTAGATTCCATTCCAACAAAAAATGAAAAATAATCTTTTAGAAAATGAAGAAAACTTGGAGTTTTATTATAAAACATTTTTTGACAGTTGGAACACTCCCAGATCTATTAGCTTCATTTTATTACTATTCACACATAATAGAGTAAAATAAAATGTTGAACTCATGATATTTCTTATTTCAAAAATAAATTTTCTTCAAAGATTCATACAGGATATGAGTTTGAATACATATTAATCATTTAACAGTATTCTTGCACTCTAAATTTTGTATGAATAAAGTGAAAGGAAATATGTTTCCCATACATACCTTTATTTCGGATATTATTTGTGAAAGAATCCATGCCATTAAGCACCACAAACTTCTTTTATTTTAAGATAAACGCATGGAAAAAATCTAATTTCTTTTAGAAAAAATCTAAATCTAATCTAATATACATGTTAAAAGGATACTTTCAGAGCCTTAAATATGATGCAAAATGTTTCTATTTATTATTTGAGACCATGAATAATGGCAGAGTCTAAAATAATTTGAAACTTTTGGTAAGAAGTTAAAATAAAGAGAAAGATTAATAAAGTAGAAAAAGACCAAAGAGATTAAATAACATGGGGAGATGGTCACAAAATTCTGAGTGTTTGCAATAAATATTTTCAATGCATTGTATGCTGTCTATGTGTTTTATGATCTAAAATATAACACTGTTATATGTTTCTTATATTTGTGTGACCTTAGGCAAGTCATTAATCTCTCTAAGATTTCCTTTTCTCAGAATTTTGGTTACTATGAGATATAAGCAAGACCACATATTGTAAAAGAATTATAAAAATTGATAAACCTATAAAATGTAATGCATTAGAAAAGAAAAAGAAGTAATGAATATTAAGATTTACTTATAGCTAATACCTCACATCCTTACTGAGTTTACATAGTAAGGCATAACTATTATACATCTATTTCCATATGCCTTGTCTAATTTGAAAAAAACAGCAACAAAAACCACTTATTTACTCAAATCAGCATAGGTATAAATTGTATTATTTAATTAATATTTAATAGAACATCTAGTAGAAAAAAAGAAGGTAATAAATTTTTGATGTTGTAAAATTTAGAAAACAAAATTAGAAAATTAATAGAGACAATAGGAATGCAAGTACTTTAGTATGTACTTACATATTTCATTAATCTAAAATATATTCTTTTATTATGATGATTTTAATGGTATAATCATGATTTTTATAGTTATATTTGTTCAAAACCCACAGATCTGGATTTCTAAGTTAAAACCATTCTAAAATATCACTTATAAATAAACATCTAAAGGACAGTATCATTATGTAAATATTAGGTGAAAACTATTTTCAGTTCCCTATATGACAAGTTTAAAGATTTAAGTTTAAATATTTAATTTGATAAACTCCTTGTATACTGACTCCTAGTATATAAAGAGACAAGTCATGAAAGCTAAGTAAAATCCACATATTCTAAAAACTATTAACAGGTAATGAACCATCATCATTTTTTATAGATCTTGCTAAAGCCAAATCAAGCTCTCCTTTGGCCACTTGCCTGCCTTCAGTCAAGAGAGAAATGTGATTTTCACAGATTCATCTCTGTCTCCTCCCCTTATATTGTACTTTCATGCAACATTTAATTTTTTAATTATTTCTACAGTAAAGCCAATTGAATGCAACTGTATCTTCTAACTTGACAAAAGTCTGAGGATATGCCTTAGGGAATCTTTAAAACCTTAAAATTCCAAGGCAAATTTAATGAGTTTGAGTGCCCAAGTTTAACTGGGGGCAAAGTTCATAATTTCATTTGATTCTCCAAGTACTCTATGGTCTTAACAGTGATCAAGAATGTCTTCTCCAGGATAACACTGGAACATCTAAATTTGCAGCCTAGTCATTGGGTCCAGAGAACTAAGCCATAGTGTTTCAATCCAGATGACCCTAAAGCGACTCTTTGGAATCATAGGGCCAATAGAATTAGCATTAAATTTATGTGCCCAAATGTATTTCTAACTTAAAATCATCCCTAACAACAAATTCTGGGCATAGGCAGGCTACAGATAACCACAACTACAAAAAGACTCACAGCAACAATCAAGGAGTTGATTGAGGCTCTTGATCAGCATGGCCAGTTTCCTCCAGAATCAAAGCTACAGTCTCACATCTGTTTAAACACATACACACACACACACACACACACACACACCCACAAAGCCTCAGGGACTGAGGTTCTCCCAGTTTACAAACGTTGATGAATGCTCAAAGTACAAAAATATGACAATTTTTCTCTTATTGCAAGGAAAATAAATGGGTTATTTAAGTGCTTATTCCATATTTAACACACTGTGCCAGGAAAAGTATAAATCACTCAACCCTTACAAAGTGCTTAGTCGTCATCCATAAAATCTTTTGCTTCAATCCTCAATAGATGTGACATTATTAGGAGTAATTTACAAGCTTTTATTTTCTCTTTCACTCAAATGCTAGAGTCTGGAAGAGACTCATGTTCAGGAACATGACATAACTAAGTTTCAAGCGCTAAGATCATTAATTTCATGAAAAACAATTTTAAAATGTGAAAAAGATTAAATTTAAATTATTTTTTTATTGGTGTCAGTTACACTTGTCCCATTTTTTCCCCATTTGCCACCCCTACCCCACCACTCCTACTCCCACAGTGAGTCCCACCTTTTGTCTGTGCTCATGAGTCCTCTATTTGTGTTCCTGTGCTTACCCTTTTTCCCTTCTTTCCCCCATTAACTAAAAAAAGATTGCCCTAGCTGGATAGCTTAGTTGACTGGAGCATCATTCTGTACACCAAAAATTTGCACATTGGATTCCAGTCAGAACATATACCTAGGCTGCAGGTCTGATCCCCGGTTAAACAGAGTGTTCACAAGGCAACTAACTGATTGATGTTTCTTTTTCATGTACATCTCCCCCTCTCTCTCTCCCTCTCTCTCCCCATCTCTCTCTAAAAGCAATAAACATATCCTCTGGTGAGAATTAAAATAAAATAAATGTAGTAGCCTGAAGAAGTTAGCAATAGTTCTAAGCTCATAAACAAAAGAAAGTGGTCCCTGGAATGCGCATGCATGAACAATGACAACTTCACTGTACTAGTCAGTGGGGGCAGTAGACACAATGGAAAGTCCTACAACCACAAGACACTAAATTTTACCAGCAACTCAAATGACCAACAGAGGCTCCCCAGAGACTTCAAGAAAGAAATAAAGTCTACTTACAACTTGGTTAATGTTTTATGAGGCTCATATCAGATTTCTGACTTTAAGAACTATAATATAACAAATTTCTGTTTTTAAGTCACTAAATTTATGAAAATTTGTTATGGCAAAATAACAAACTAATACAATAAACTTTTATAGTTTTCAGTGCAGAGCTTGAACATATCATTAAATTTAATAAGTATTTTATGTTATTGTAAATTATAATTATTTTAAAATTCTCTATTTTTTGTTGCTAATATATAGAAACAGTTGGTTTTATTAACTGTTTATGTAATGATATTGTTATTTTCTCTTAGTAATTGTGATCATTTTCCTGTATATTTGTCTAAATTTTTTACATGTAACACATGTCTGGAAATCATGAGAATTTCCTTTCTTTCTTTCCAGTCTTTTATTTACTTTCCTTGCTAGGACCTCCAGTATAATATTGTGTAGAACAAGTGATCAAGCATCTATCATTTTGTAGCAACAAATAAATAATACTTATTTCTTGTTATGTTCATCATTGAGCACTAGCATGGAATGAAGGGAGAAACTCACTTCCTGACTATATAACCAGATTCAGGATAAAAGAAGGATGGATACATGGATGAATAGCTAGGTGTCAAAGGCAAACAAAGAAAACAGTATGAACTGGGAAAAGGTTAATATAAAATCATTGGCAGCTATACAACTCTTCTCTCAAGGGAAATATAAGCATATAGGAATTGACACAAAAATAAACTATAAATTGTTCTTAAAAGAGATCTATATACAATAGATCTATATACCAAATAGATCTATATACTATTAAAAAGTCAGAAATTTGGGGAAAATATTTTTTTTATTTTACTACAAGCAAATTTTATTTTACTATAAGTGTAATTACTTCAACACTGTTAAAGAGCCCAAATAGTTCAATAAATCTATAACTAAAATATTGTGTCAGTAATTCAGAAAGCCCTATATTGAATGTTAAAGTACACATGTTTGAATTCTCACTTGTTTATTCATTCAACAAACAAATTTACTAGCTTAAATTATAAGCTTTTGAGGGAAATAATACTTCATTACTCTTCAAAATGGTGAGTAAAAGATGACTGTAAGCAAAGAAAAATTAGCATTATCAGAAAATTGAAAATGTAAAAAATAAGGAACATTTCACAGTGAAATTATCATCATCAAAATTGATGACAGACCCAAAGACATATGAAAGGATGCTCAGCATCGCTAGCCATCAGAGAGATGCAAATTAAAACCATAGTGAGATACCACCTCACACCTGTCAGAATGGCCATCATAAACAAATCAACAAACAACAAGTGCCAGTGAGGATGTAGAGGAAAGATAACCCTGGTGTACTGTTTGTAGGAATGCAGACTGGTGCAGCCACTGTGGAAAAGAGTATGAAATTCTCTCAGAAAACTAAAAACAAAACTGCCTTTTGACCCAGTAATTCTTCTGCTGGGATTATACCTTAAGAATTCTGAAACACCAATTCAAAAAAACATATGCACCCCAATATTCATAGTAGCACAATTTACAATAGTCAAGTGCTAGAAGCAACCTGAGT